GGGGGGGGGGAGAGGGCATGAGGAGGGGCGCGTCCCTGGGGGGGCCAAGGGTCTCCTAAATGCCCGCAGAATATTTCATTCTTTTCTGTTTCTGCCTCTGGTTGCAGAACCAGACGCGCACCACGTTTTTCTTGAGGTCCAGCTTCTCGGCGATGGCGGCGATCTTCTCGGAGGAGGGCCGCGGCTGGATGGCGAAGTAGGCTTCCAGCGAGCGCTTCTCGGGCGCCGCGATGGACGTGCGTTTGCGCTTCTTCTCGGCGCCGTTGAAGAGCTCGGGCTTGGTGAGCTTCTCGCGGTGGGACTTCTCGGCCTCCTCGAGCCACGCTTGCAAGATAGGTTTGAGCGCGATCATATTGTTGTGCGACAACGTGAGGGACTCGAACCTGCAGATGGTGCTCTGGCTCAGCGAGCCCACGCCGGGGATCTTGAGGTTGGCCAGCGCCGAGCCCACATCCGCCTGGGTCACCCCCAGCTTGATGCGGCGCTGCTTGAAGCGCTCGGCGAAGGCCTCCAGGTCCCGCGGGTCGGCGTCCACGTCGCTCATGCAGCCCATGTGCGAGGGCAGCCCGTGCGCGTGGGCCATGCTGAGCGCGGCTTGGTGCATGGGGTTCATGGTCGCCATGTGCGGCGCGTGAGCCGGCGTGGAGACCACCGCGCCGTCGGGGCCCGCCATGGCGCCCAGGGCCAGCCCGGGGCTCAGGTGCTCCAGCAGCTCTCCCTCGAGCGCCTGGTGCGGCTGGTGGTGGTGGTGATGGTGGTGGTGGTGGTGGTGGTGAGTGCCCGCCAGCGCGGACGGGTGCGAGATGGGCACCGACGACGACGAGGCGGACGAGGTGCACGGGATGGTGTTCATGGTGTGGTAGGTGGCGTCCGGCTTGAAGGGGCTGTGGTGGGGCGGGTGGTGGTGGTGGCTCTTGCTCTGGGAGACGATGTCCACAGCCGCCAGAGCCTCGGCGCGGGCCAGGAGACTCTCATCCAGCCCGCCGAATATATTGCTCTGCAATTGCAAGTAAAACGCACACATTACGCTCAGCAGGGAATTGTGCGCGCGCTCTCCCGAAGCCCCGGCCCTTCGCTCCACGCCGCCGCCGCGCCTACAACATTCCCAGAACGTTAAAATAATAATAATTAATAGTAATAACAATAATGCTGGAAATTGCAGGTGAGGAGGCGGAGAGAGGGGCAGGAAGCCGCCTGAGAAGCCGAGCGTGCACGCAGAGGCGGCAAGTGAGCCTGCAAACACAACACAACACAACGCGCACACAGGCAACATCCCAGGTCATAAAAATTAATATGAAAGGAAAGACCCGCTGAATACATAAGAGGGGGGGGAACTGGTTGGAGGTGTGGGGTGATTTGCTGTGCAGACATGAAAAAAACATCAAGCAGATAAAGGAGGCTGTCAGAATGTGCCTCTAAGCGGTGATTATGCAGAAATACGCACCGGTGGGGTTGGAAGGCACGCTCTCCGCATCGCCTCGGAGCCCCC